TTTTCTATGTTATATATTTTTTTAATGTTTCTTGAAGATAATGGTTCCATACAGGTATCAAAAGTTCTGTTTAATTAAAGTCTTGTATTGCTTGCTTGTTTTTTAAAGAAATGAATATATGCATTTGCTTTAAGGTGATGATAATTACGCATTAATATGGGATCTTCACGCGATGCCTCGACCTGTCGATGATCCTATCCTAGCATATCAGGCAGGCGGAGAGGTACGTGGCGGTTTTACCTCATCTGGTGTATTCCTCCCTCTTGGTTTCTGTTTCTTTCAAAATTTGTTCGGCGCTTTTTAGGCTTGATCTGTTGATCTTTTCTGTATTGTATGCTACCGGCGATTTATGACTTTTTTATAAGAATAGGCGGAGTTTTTTCGGTTTACTAATTGTTTTAATGCAGTTTGTTCATTTATAGTTTTTTTTCAGTCAGTTTACTTTTCTGGATTTTTCAGGTTAATCAGATTCACTGGGCCCAGGCTTATCCAGATTGGATATCTATATGTTATGATCAGTGGCTTGAGATTTTACGAGTCTAGTGCCCCAACGCTTAGCGGTCATTCATTTGTGGTTATATGATGTACTATTTGCCTTTGAATATTTTATCCCTCAGTGGTTTTCAGGCTTTAACTTTTGTTTTCGTCGCATCGTTTGTTAACTGTGAGCTTAACAAATCCTTATGATTGTTGTTATAGGATTTTATGTCATTATTCCCAGTTTTAGAGATCTAAGGTGATTTCAATTACCAAAGTTTTCATTTTGATAGGATTCAATTCAAGAACTGCAGATAGATCCTTGAAAAACTTTAGAGCGTATTCAGTTATAGTTTATTAATAGAATAATTCATGGTTTTGTCAATACTAGGTTTAGGGAGACTCTTGAACTCGTACGTTTCTTAGCTTGAAGTAACCTCTCACTTCTTTTTTTAGAGTGCATGGCTTAGCTGCCATAGTGTGATGTAAAAGCTTGTGTCTTTCATATCAAATTTTACTGTTTATATCGACTTCGGGGTTTGCTTTTGATTCTCTTTGTCACCTTTTGTTTCATAATATATTTTATTTTGTTTTCTTCTTGCTGTAGGACTAATTCATTTATATTTCTTTTCCCAGACTCCTGAAAAATTGTCAAATTTTATGTGTAGTGAGCTCTTTAGGATTATATTGTCGGTATCTATATTGTAGAAAAAGATTGAGCGAAGTTGTTTGGGAGAAATGTTACCGGCTTAATTTTTACTGTCTTATGCGTTTCTATTTGTTTTAAAGACTTTTTGATATTTTTTTCTTTATTGAATGTTTCCCAGTTGTATTTATTTGGGTATTTATCGTACGAGCAGTGGTTTGATTGTTAGTCTAGATGAAAAATTTAGTAATTGATTTCTGATGAGATTCAAACTTCTGTTTGTTTTTCGTTAGACAGGCGATGAGGAATATGAGATTGAGGAAAAGGTTGTATATTTGGGAGGAACACTTTGGAATTGAAATTGCATTGTTTTACATCTCAACATTACATAATGCATATATTCTGCTGTGAATTATAAGACGTGTACATATTTATTACACTTTAGTGAAGTTTTACTGGTGAATTTCCTGAATGATATTGGTCGTCTGCAGTCTATGAGTTACTAATAATATAGCAGCTGTGTTACAAATAAATTTTTATATTTTTAAATAAATACGAACGAAGCGTTGCTCATTCTAATTGACAGTAGTACTTAATACTTTCGAAGAAGATGTGGTATCATTGGCTGAAAGGTAGATCAGGATGTGACAGGGGTCAGTTATTGTTAATGTCTTTCTTTTTGGTGCTCGCACTGCCTGGTGTTTGTTTGAAAGACTTTTACAAAAAAAGAGGGGAGTTGAAGTATTGTGGCTACTGGTTGTGGATTTCTTGTTAACGGTTTGTTAAGAGGTGACAGTTTGTTGTAAGTGTACAGTCCATTGGTCATAAGGTTGCTGGAGTCAGTTATTCAGTTTGAACTATCACTGGCATCGCGTGCGTTCTTCTACAGTCTAGTTTTAATGGTGGCTTCATTACGTAAGTGGGGCTAGCGCAGCTTGTCTAATAAAGGTTCTCTTCGCTACAATGCTGAAACATAGTTTGTTAATTTAAATGCTTTTAACTTGGCCGTCTTTCGTTTGCTGAACTGTTTTTGTTCCGCACAGTATAAACTGGTCAGTGGCTATTTGTCTTAGGAAGCACTTATACAGAACTGTCGAAGAATTGAACTACAAGTTTAATCGACCTGTCTTAATTTTAAGAGTTTGAAATGCGCTTGTAGTGTGACATTACCAACTGCAACGCTCTTAAAATTTAAGGTCACTCATTTCGTTGAGGTTAATTAAACTGTAGTCTTGAGGCCTTGGCACTACGCAGATAGCTAATGTCAGAAGAACCTCTCGACGAAAACGCTTCTATGTGAGGTTTTCTATTTGTTTCTTACCAGTATAAGATTTTAGTTAATTTTATTTTAGTTGTTTTAACCGTCTGACTTTTATACAAAGAAGGTTTTTATATAGATCAGTTTGGAATAGCTTGGTAAACTTGGTTAATGATTTACATGGAAAGCTAAATTATTTGAAGGAATTTTCAGAGTTCTGCAAGATCCCAGTGAAGAAGCTCCACCGACTCCTCCGAGCCTCCCCTCTTGTGATACATCTACGCTTTTTGTTGGAAATGTAACACCCAATGGACCAAATACCAGTGGCAGTAGCAACCACGCGTTCGACGTTTCTAGAGGTTTTTGTCTTAACGAGTTCAGTAGTTTTGCTAAATGTGGCTTGTATTAAGAGTATTAACGTTCTTAATTAGTGCCATGTCATTTCTTAATCAAATAGAGGGAGAGTGAAGAGAATTAAATTAGAGAACTTTCTTTGTTTTGATACTTTAGGTTCTGGCCAGTACTTGCATCACCTGAGCTCCTGAAGACTTTAAGTATGGTAGGGCAGATGTTTCTAATCTTCCTTTCTTAGCCCATTGGGTAATAAAGTAGAAGCTGCTTTTTGAAAGGGATGTTCTAAAGCAGCCGCGGCAGTATAGGGGAATTATAAGTGGATTAGTTATGACACCGAGTATTTCTAATTATGCTGTACTTTTTAGGCGCTTCTTTTATCCCAGACTTGGTTGGTGACGAAATACGGCATTCTGTTGAAGGAGTTTGTGAATTTCTCGGTGAATTTTTCTGTATATTTAGTGTTTACTCAAATGATTTTCATTAGAAATAAGTCATTTGTCGGGAAGCTTCACTCTTTGGTGACTAGCTTTCAAGGTTTGCTGAAGAAACAATCTTTTACGGCTCTGTGAGAGAATATCGTATTGCTAATCCAATAGCCGTCTCAGAGGCTTTATCTATTAGCCGTTTCAATTACTCGAAGGAATAATGTGGTGGCCGTGTATGTAACGGTTGCCTGATTGGGTGTGCGTTGTTAGTGAGCTGGACTTCACGCGCTGTCGCAACTGTATTGATAATTTATAGAAGTATAAATAGGCAAGAGGGAGAAAGTGATTTATTTGAAGTGACGGTGAAGGTCCTTTTAAAACAGAAGCTCTGAAAAA